GCTCGACCCTCAGCGTCAAAAGCGAGGACACTAGGGGTAGCCATGACCACAGTAGACTAGCAGTGCAAACAGTAGGGTGAGGGCAGTGCAGTGAAAGAGGCGCTGTGCTTACCGGACGGGGCAGCTCGCACGGCTCGCCAGTAGGGCGGCTCGGTGGCTCGGCTACTGGGCGGCTAGGTGGCTCGGCTGCAGTGCGGCTCGGCGGCCCGGCGGCTCGGCTGTACGGCGGCTCGGCTGCTGGGCGGCTCGACTGCAGGGCGGCTCGGCTGCTTGGCTGCTGGGCGGCTCGGCGGCTCGGCTGTCCGGCTGCTCGGTTGCCCGGGCGGCTCGGCGGTGCTGCTGCAGGGCGGCGCGGCGGTCGGCTGCTCGGCTGGGTGAGGCGGCTCGGGCAGCTCGGATAGCGGGCGGCGCTGCAGCAAGGGACGGGGCCGCAGGTCAGAGTGGCGGGGCCGCCGGTGAGAGCGGCGGGGCCGCAGGTGAGAGCGGCTGGGCCGCAGGTGAGAGCGGCGGGGCCGCAGGTGAGAGAGGCGGTGCCGCTGGTAAGAGCGGCGGGGCCGCAGGTGAGAGTGGCGGGGCCGCAGGTGAGAGCGGCGGGGCCGCAGGTGAGAGCGGCGGGGCCGCAGGGAAGGGCGACGGGGCCGCAGTTGAGGGCGGCCGGGCCGCAGTTGAGAGCGACGGGGCCGCAGTTGAGGGCGGCGGGGCCGCAGTTGAGAGCGGCGGGGCCGCAGGTAAGGGCGGCGGGGTCGTAGTTGAGGGCGGCGGGGCCGCAGGTAAGGGCGGCTGGGCCGCAGGTAAGGGCGACGGGCCGCAGGAAGGGCGGCGGGCCGCAGGTGAGGGCGGCGGGGCCGTTTAAAGGGACGGCGGGGCCGTGAGAAGGGCGGCGACGGGCCGCTGCAAGGGCGGCGACGGGGCCGCTGGTGAAAGGGCGGCGGATCGGGGCCGCAAGGGCGGCTGATCGGGGCCACGAGAGGCCGCTAGGGCGGCGCGACGCGGCCGCTAGGGCGGCGCTACGCGGCCGTTAGGGCGGCGCGACGCGACCGTAAGGGCGGCGCGACGGGCCGCTAAGGGCGACACGACGGGTCGCTAAGGGTGACGCGACGGGGCCGCTAAGAAGGGCGCGACCCTAGGCGCGCTTCGGGCAGGGGTAGGACGCGCCCCGGGCAGGAAAAAAAAGAATCGATGGGCCCTAGGAACAGTTCCCACGAGGGAACTTGCTCAATACCATGAGAAAATGAGAACGAGAATGAATGAACTATGAATGAAGTGGGTACAAGTACTAACCCTAATTGGGTTGTACCCCCTATAGGATACCCTACTACAGCCTACACAAAAGCATAAGCTATAATGTTCTAACAGCCCGAACACTCCTCTACGTGCAGACGACGACACCCTCTCGTACTTCGACGCAGGCGAAATCGACTGCGATGGCGAAGACAGCGCTGACGACGGCGCCGATGCAGCGACGCCTAGCGACAAAAAAGGGTGGGAGCCGGCGGAAGTCATGCAGCTGGCGTGGATCCGCCACGACTTCGACGAGCAATATCGGAATTTGTGCCGCCTGCAAGGCCAGAACCGGGACGTCATGCTCGACGAGCAAGTCCGTCTTCGTCACCCCGGATGGCGCCATTGGTCTCACAGCCACAAAAGCCAAGGTTTTCCGTATGGAGGCTCACTTGCGGAAGGTGTCGGATTTATTGCTCAAACCTTCCGGGAAGGGGAAGCCCCCCAAAATGCCTATTTTCTATGACATTTTGGACAGGTTCCTAGGGGATCGGGCGAATGCGCATCCCCCGGCGCTCGCGGGCCCCTTGCTTCCCGCAACTACTACCGCGCCTCCTCCCCCGGCTCGTACCATTCCTAGTAAGTGTTGATTGTTGTTTGATGTGATCCTTATTTTTAACTGCTCATAATTTAAGATTGATGATACTTATATAACCATTCATCAAGGTGGCATGTAATAATGAAACCACCCAACACCCCCTTATGCGACGCCCATCACCGGCAGATGTGGCGTCTCCTACCACCGCATCAGCGGTGTCTGCAGGGCCCGATGGCGTAGCGGCATCAGCAAGCCGAGCGCAGTCGGCTCGACGCTCACCCAATCCCCGCCGAGTGACGGCTTCGCCTGGTCACTCCTTCGCGCCAGCCGTTTTCGTCTCCGTCTACGTCTGCGCTTGCGCCCGACGTGTCCCCCGCCGCTGCCACCGCCACTGCATCTCTATCCCGTTCACGCGTTGTCGGCACGAACGCGAGTGTTGCGCTCCGTGGCCGCGGTGTCTCCCGCCGGCCCGGGCCTGCGGCTGCCGAAGAGGAACATTCGAGCAACGACACAATGGGAGGTGGTGTTGGTAACCACATGAACTCAAGCGATTCAGTGCTGTGTGCTGAAATAGCGGGGATAATTGCACAATCGGTAAAAGGGGCTATGCGAGACCAATTTGATGAGTTTTTATAACGTACCCAAGAGATGGTTGAGAGAGCTCAGGATGCCCGAGCCTCCAGGAAGCGTAGAAGTACGCCGCCAGGCGAGATCGACGACGAGTCGGAGTAAAGCCCGCATCGCGCGGCGAGAAATGCGGGGCCTCCGCAACGGGTCCTTCCAGCCACCAAGTGTTGCGTTCACGAGGTTCGTTCAGGCGGTGACGAAAGCCGAGGAGGAGGTCGATGTTGTGAAGCACGATGCAGGCGGAGACGACCTGCGGGGCGCGGAAGACGTCGCACTCGAGGCGCCCGTCCAGGATGCGCCATTTGGTCTTCAGCCTCCCGTTCACCTACTCCACGATCATTCGAGTGCGGGACTGCTGGAGGTTCCAGACTCGCTGCTCGTCGGGAAGTGCGCGACCGGGAAGGGCACGGTAGGGTGTGTAGATGTAGGGCCTCAAACCATAGGCAGCGTCCGCTACTAGCGTGTAGTCCAATATCCCTCCTTCAATTTTAGTTCCTGCAGGGCTGTTCATGAAAACCCGAGCGTCCTTGACGCTTCCGGGGTAGCCTACAAAAAAATCCCAGATGAGACCCATGCTATCGCATATTAGTTGGCAAATAATATAAAAGAAACCTTTCCTATTTATGAAGCCTTCGCAATGTGGTCCCATGCCACGGCAGTGTATGTAGGTCCCGTCCATGGCGCCTACCACCTCAGGTATTCCGGCTTGAAGGCGAAACTCTGTCTCGAACAACTGCATCATGTCCATGTCTGGCCACATGACCCACTTGGGCAGGAGGACTTCGTTGACGAAAAAAATGAACCTCGCAAACAGCTTGTGGGCGTGGGAGAAAGAGTAGCCGAAGTGAAGCCCAATTTCGCGAAATGTGAGACCATGCCCAAGCCTGCTAAGTCCCATGGCGACGAATATAAAGTTATGCACAGGACGATTAAGTGTAGCGAAACGGCTGCGCTGATACTGGCGCACTAAGTAAACGAAAACGCGTTTGTCAACCCGCAAATACTCATAGAAATTGTCCTCGGGCAGGGATGTTATCAGTCGAAACCAACGCACACGTGCGTCAAGGCGGTCGCCAAGCACGAACACCCGGGTCTGCCTGAGAGTGAAGGCCGAGACGGGCGTGGGGAGTGCCGTGCCAACAGCGTTGAGAACGGGAAGCATCACCATCTACAAGTACCCCTGCCATACGATGCCGAGAAAGCGGACCAGCTGTAGGGTTGTCATGTTGGGCGAATGACGAGTATACAAGGTGTTGCCACGGGGGTTATTTGTACCCTGGTTACACACTCGGCGCGGAAGGTGAGTTGGAGCTCTAGGTCCTTGTAAACCGAGGCGCAAAATGTTGACGTGACGCACTGTCAAGACGAGCGAACCGGGTAACCTATGATGTTGACGTGCGGCTCGGCTCGTTTTTACAAGTTCGAATGTCGGGGTTCGACCTTGTATGTGTGTGTGATTTTTTACAGTGTGGTAAGCCCGATGTTCGAACTTCGATAGAAGGAAATTCGAACTTCTTTCGTTGTAAGTTCAAAACTAAAATTCGCCCTAAAAACATAAACTTTTACAAATTTCAAAGACCACACGCGCCCTCACAATGGTGAAGCTCTTCCCACCACATTGTGACGCGGATTGCATTCGGTCGCACTGTAGGCGGCGCGGTGTGTGTCTGATTTGATGGCGTGCCCTTTGTGCGCGATTGCCAACCATCGCGTGACGTGAACAGCGAATCTTTGAGACCACGGCCCACGGCCACGACAGGAACCAGCATCCTCAGCCCCAACCGTCCAGCTCAGCATGGTGTGTTCCGCCCCCTGAGGTGCGCACCCCCAACACCGATAACCTCGAGGTGGGTGTTGACGTACCCATTTGAGCTTCGTGAGCGTATGTCTCAACCAAACGGGGTCCGACGGTGGTCGACGCTCCGTCGACCACCGTCGGACCCCGTTTGGTTGAGACATACGCCTGCATTGCGCTTGGGCTTGGGTGCGAGATGTAAATTCTATCTGCAACGCTTTTGCTCTGGCCGAGTTGAGTGAAGACAAAACGAGAGCAATGGAACTGATCTTGTCCATCTCCTTCCTCCCCCACCCCACCACCACGTGGGTGGCACGCAGAGTTGCTTGATTCACCGCAACCCACTGACAGACACACGATTTTATCGCTAAGTCTCCCTTTACAAGCCACGATCAGCATACTTTCCCTTCATAATCCTCCACTAAGTGTCATCACGAGCGGACTCGACAATCCTCGTTGACGTCCTCTCGAGTGTGCCTCCTACTATTAAAGCGTGTGTCCAGTGGAGAAAGGCGATCATTCATTCGTAGTGCGTATCAATTGCACGGCCAAGAACCGTAGTATTCACTCAAGTCGACGCGGCAGAGGCCTTAGGTTAGAATCTCTGGCTCCAAGTGACTCCAACCTCGAAGTAGCTAAGGCCCTTAGCGGGGCTGGTGCTACTACGAGAAATAAGCATTCATAAGTACTCGTATTGCTATTTATTGGTCGACCGACACTTCAGGCTGGTCTCTTAAGTAGTGCGACGCGCACGCGTCCATGGCCGACCGGCTTTCCCCTCCGCCACGTGCCGCGCAATCTAAGCCGGCCCGCGCGCGTCGCAGCGGCTCGTGGCACGCGTTCCTCTCGCTCTCTGAGACGTCTCAAAAGTCGTTCCTCTCGCCCAATGGCGCAGACGGTCAAGCCTCACCCGCGGTCGCCGCGGCTGCCATCCCTTCCGCAATTCCCGCCGCAATTCCCGCCACCGCGACCGCCGCGCCCGTCGCCGGTTCGTCGCAAGCAGAAAGCGCGGACGGCGGCGCAAGACCCGCCGCAGAGCGCGGTCGCGAGGCCTCCCCGTTGCTTCCGCCCTCTCTCAGCGATAGAGCGCAGTCCCCGCATCCGCTTACCTCCAGATCTCCGCTTAGAAACGCCGCCGCCAACGCTCGCGCGTGGTGCGCGCGACGGTACCGCGGAATCCTTCCGCCTGCGGGGGAAACCGCGACAACGCCGCGGAACGCATTAGCCCGCGTGGCAGGGGCGGGGGGGATCACAGGGGCAGGCGGAGCTGCGCCCTCGAGCGGCGGGGAGGGTAGCGCCGGCGGAAGCGACGACCGCCTCGCTGGGGCAAGGGGGAAGCGGAGCAGGCAGGGGGCCAATGCGGCGTCCGTTGGACTCGCGAAAAGATCCGACTCGAGTCAACCAAGTCAACCAGGTCAAACGGGTTATCCTGTTCAACGGGGTCAACCGAGTCAACGAGTCCAGGTCTCCCCGCGCCCGTCCGCGTGCCCGTCGGAGCGGTCGAGTGCGTGGGGGCCAGGCGGAAGCAGCAGCACGAGTGATTATAGCGAGGGGACTGAAGACGAGGATGCGATGTGGGAGGATAGCGACTGGATGTCCGCGGAGGAAGGGGAAGGGAGAGAAAACGGCGGTAAGTGGTGGTCCTTCAAGGGATGGGCGACGAAAAGACGCGGAGATGCGAATTTTGAGGGTGATTACCCCTCCTGGGCTGGTTGGGGCGGGAGAAGTTCTTGGGGAAGCCGAGGACGGGCAGGGGGAGGGGTGAGGGGGGAGGCTGGCGGCGCGGAGATCCCAAGGGGGGAAGTTGAGGTGATGGTGAGGGGAACAGCGTGTGACAGAAACGGGGGTGCTTTTACGAAAACAGGGAATTTTCAGGACAAGAAACGACAGAAGCACGGATCGTTTGGCAGGAAGGGCAGAAGGGGGGGAAGGAGGAGGAGAAGCGCAGAGGATGAGGAGGACGAATGGAGGAATCGAGGATGGCTGTGGAAGCTTCTGAGCAAGTGCAGCGTGGAGAAATGCCTCGAGCTGACCCACTTGGCGCGCTTCCTGTGTCTGCTGATGTGGGCGGCTGTGACCCTGGCGGTGGCGTTTGTCGTTTTCTGGGTGTTGTATCAGAACTTCCAGGCGGCGCGGCTGGCGGAGGTGCAGCAGGAGTGCGACAAGTGGACGGCGCTGCTGGAGAGCCACTTCCGTCAATCCGCTGATCAGGTGAGTGGTGGGGAGGGGTTGGGGGTTGAAAGGGATGAGGTGAGGGAAGCGACGGGCGAACGCGATTGGTCAATTATGTCACAGGACGAGTCTGGCAGAAGTGGAGCAGGAGTGTGACAAGTGGACGACGCTGCTGGAGAGCCATTTCCATCCCATTCATTTCCATCCCATTCATTTCCATCCCATGCATTTCCATCCCATCCCATCCCATCCCATCCCATCCCATCCCATCCCATCCCATCCCATCCCATCCCATCCCATCCCATCCCATCGCATCCCATCCCATCCCACCGCACTGAACACCACATCACCCAATCAGGTGCGGCTATTGGGAGCGGTCGTCTCAACCTTCTACTTCCAAAAGCCAAACGCCACTCTCGATCAGGTCAGCCGCCCGCCAGGTCAGCAGCCCGCCAGGTCAGCAGCCCGCCAGATCAGCCGCCCGCCAGGTCAGCCACCCACCAGGGCTGCCGTTCGCCAGGTCAGCCGCTCGCCAGGTTAGCCGCTCTGCTTTGCTCGCTGGTGGCTGAATCGCCTATCTTGCGCTCATCATTCCCTCCTTGCCCCTTTCCCTTCCCCTTCCCCACTCCACCTTCCATGTTTCTCCTTACCCGTTTCCTCTTTCCCCCACCTTCCATGTTTCTCCTTACCCGTTTCCTCTTTCCCCCACCTTCCCCCACAAACCCCCAAACCCCCTCCATCCAATTAGCCCACCTACTGCTTGCAGGTGAATAAGACAGACTGTGCCCGCCCGCTGCTGTTAATAACCCATCGTCCTTCCCTTCTCAACCTTCCTACTTCATTCCACCCCTTCCTCCCCGCGCCCCTCCTCTCTCCCCCCCCCCCCCCCCCCATCTCTTCCATTCAACCAGCCCACCTTCTCGTCCCTCGTGAATGCGACGGACTACGCCCGCCCGCTGCTGTTTGCCGTCTCCTTTTCCCGGCGGGTGACTCAGGCTGAGCGGCCGGCGTTTGAGAAACAGCAGCAGCAGCAGCTGGGGGACCCTGGGTATTGCATCAGGTACGTACGGTTGAGATGTCTTCAGAAAACAGCAGCAGCAGCAGCAGCAGCAGCAGCAGCAGCTAGGGGACCCTAATGACTGCATCAGGTATGTGCGATTTTTGAGTTGAGATGTCGTGACAAAGCAGCAGGTACGCTTTTCCAGATGTCTCAGAAAAGCAGCAGCGTTAACTGGGGGTCCCGGATACTTCTGCATCAGGTACGTTGGCTGCAAAACACAGTTGATTGCATCAGTTAAACCCGAAACCCAAAACACATCATATCGAGTGTAAAACACATTTTTTTTTTTTTTAGTGAAACACAATGTGTCGACAGTGAAACACCCCTGAACCATCCCCCATCCTCCCTCCCCCTGCCCAAGCCTGCTTAAGTGCACACATGCCTGCCGTGTCCGCCCATCCCCCATCCCCCATCCCCCCCACCCGCCTCCTCTAATCACAGGCACGGCAGCATGTGTGCGGGCAGCCAGGCCGAGCTCGCCCCCATCGTGCTCACCAGCGCATCGGCCTCCGTGATTGGCCAGGGCCTCCTGGCGCCCTCCTCCCATCCTGACCACCCGTTGACCGGCGTTGACTCGGTTGACCTGCCTGAAGACCAGCTTGCGTTGCAGGAGTTTCTGGCATGGGGTGAGTGTGGGGTGGGTGTGGAGTGAGTGGGGACTGAGTGGGGACTGAGTGTGGGGTGAGTGTGGGGTGAGTGTGGGGTGAGTGTGGGGTGAGTGGGGAGTGACTGTGGAGTGACTGTGGAGTGAGTGTGGGGTGAGTGTGGAGTGAGTGGGGAGTGAGTGGGGAGTGAGTGGGGAGTGAGTGGGGAGTGAGTAGGGAGTGAGTGGGGAGTGAGTGGGGAGTGAGTGGGGAGTGAGTGGGGAGTGAGTGGGGAGTGGGGAGTGAGTGGGGAGTGAGTGTGGGGTGAGTGTGGGGTGAGTGTGGGGTGTGCGTGGAGTGAGTGGGGAGTGAGTGCTATGAGTATGAATCATCATGTGTTCTTCCTCCCCTATCATGTCTTTCCTCTCTCCCCCTTTCTCTTCTTCCCTTCTTTTCTCCATTCTCTCTCCACACCCCTCCCCCACTTCCCTCCGCTGTTCCTTCCCTCCATTACCCCCCATTCCCTCCTCCTATCCCTCCCCCATTCTCCCCACTCCCCCAACCAACCCCTTCCCCCCGTCCAGCCAACCGCCCAGCAACAATAGAGGCGGTGACGCGAGCGCGGGACTATGGAGTAATGGGGGCACTCACGCCCCCGTTCCCCCTCAACCTCTCTCTCTCCTTCACTAAGAGGCCCATTTCGCGCGGCCTCTTTATAGTCTTCCCCGTTTACCGCACGCCCGACCCGCTGCCGGACGGTTTGTCTTCTAGCGAGTACCAGGCGGCGTGCCTCGGCTACATGACGGCAATCATTGACTTTGAGCCGATGTGGGATGCGATGCTGGAGGTGAGCGGTGCTGCGGGGTGCTGAGTGGTGGATGGGGGGTGCTGCTGGGTGGTGGGGGGTGGTTTGAGGTGGGAAGTGGAGGGGGGGGGGGCGGGGGGGGGTGGGGGGGGTGCAGTCTGCAACACGGGCGTGCCTAGGATACATGACGGAGATTGTGGACTTTTAGTGGTGGGGAGGTGGGGGGCGGTTGGGGGTATACTGGGCTGGAGGTATGCGGTGGGGAGGGGTGCTGGGAGGTGGGGGGCGGTTGGGGGTTGCAAGTGGGTGTGCCTGGGCTGGCTATATGAGTGAGCAATGGTGACATGCGGTGAGTGGTGGTAGGGGGAGGTTGCTTACAGCAATGTTTGCCTTGCCTCGGCTACATGGCAAGATTCTTGAGAGTTCTCAAATGCGACTCAATCTGGATGGACTTTTGGGTCAACAGTCGACCACAGGAACCCTCCCACCTCACTCTCCCCACACCCTCCCACCTCACTCTCCCCACACCCTCCCACCTCACTCTCCCCACACCCTCCCACCTCACTCTCCCCACACCCTCCCACCTCACTCTCCCCACACCCTCCCACCTCACTCTCCCCACACCCTCCCACCTCACTCTCCCCACACCCTCCCACCTCACTCTCCCCACACCCTCCCACGCTTGCTTGCTCTTTCTCCAACCACCCACACCCCAGGAATACCACGGCTTGGCCCTGCCCATGTTTGCACGAATTTACGACGTCACTGGGAGCAGCGGGGAGAAGGGGAAGCGTGCGGGGGAGGTTATTTACGAGCCTAGAGGACAAGAGTTGCCGCCCGGACAGGAGGACTCGTATGCGCATGTGAACGTGGTGAATCTGGGGGACAAGTACCGCGAGTACGAGATGCGGTGCAGGTGGGTGGGGTGCGGTGGAGGTGGGTGCATAAAAAACTTGGGTCATAAAATCCTTTCTCGTTCTTCCATCCCCGTTTTCTCCCTCCCATCCCCCTTACTCCCCCTCTCTCATCCCTCACCCCTCCTCACTCCCGTTCAACCCCCTTCTCGCGACCCCCCTCTATCCCATCTCCACCCCCCCACAGGTACAACACAACGTATGTATTCCCGGCAGCGAGTGCAGGGTGGGCTATCCTCGTTATAGTGGTGATGGGTCTCAACCCCCCTCAACCCGCCTCAACCCCTCTCAACCCTCCCCCCACAGGTAAAACACAACGTACGTATTCCCAGCAGCAAGTGCAGGGTGGGCTATCCTCGTTATAGTGGTGATGTGATGAGCCTCACCCCCCCCCCCCCCCCCCCCTTTTTCCTTTCCACAGGTACAACACAACCTATGAGTTCCCAGCCGCAAGTGCAGGGTGGGCTATACTCGTTATAGTGGTGATGGGCCTCGCTGCATATGTGTACTGGGCGGCGTGTGAGCGCGTGCAGCAGTTGGAGAGGGATTACCAGCGGTTGGAAGCGGTGAAGAACCGCATGAAAGCGGCCAAGAGGGTTGCGGAGCGGGCGAGTAAGGCCAAGGGCTTGTTCCTTACCACGATGAGCCACGAGCTACGCACGCCACTGAATGGTGTCATAGGTGGGTGCTGTGCGGTGCTGGTGATAGTGGTTTCCGAATAGAGGGTGGTGGATAGGTCGATTCAATCAAGCCAAGGGGCTGTTTCTTACGAGGATGAGCCATGAGCTCCGCACGCCGCTCAATGGAGTTTTAGGTGGGTGCTGTGTGGTGTTGTGTGGTGCTGGTGATAGTGGTCTCCGCTTCGAGGGTGGTGGAAAGGGCGAGTCAAGCGAAGGGCGCGTTCTCACTGCTATGAGTTACGAGCTGCGCACGCCGCTCGCGGCCGTCATAGGTGGGTGCTATGCGGTGCTCTGCGGTGCTGGTGATTTCCGCCAAGCCTAGAAGGTGGTGGAGAAGGCGAGTTAAGCCAAGGGATTGTTTCTCATTACGATGAGCCACGAGCTATGCACGCCACTGAATGGAGTCATCGGTGGGTGGTGTGCGGTGCTGTGTGGTTGCTGGTGCTGGTGGTATTGTTGTTATTGGTGCTGCTGGTGGTGCTGGTGGTGTTGGCGGTGTTGGTGCTGCTGGTGGTGCTGGTGGTGTTGGTGGTGCTGGTGGTGCTGGTGGTGTTGGCGGTGTTGGTGGTGCTGGTGGTGCTGGTGGTGTTGGCGGTGTTGGTGCTGCTGGTGGTGCTGGTGGTGTTGGTGGTGCTGGTGGTGCTGGTGGTGTTGGCGGTGTTGGTGGTGCTGGTGGTGCTGGTGGTGCTGGTGGTGTTGGTGGTGTTGGTGGTGCTGGTGGTGCTGGTGGTGCTGATGGTGTTGGTGGTGTTGGTGTTGGTGGTGTTGGTGGTGCTGGTGGTGCTGGTGGTGCTGGTGGTGCTGGTGGTGTTGGTGGTGTTGGTGGTGTTGGTGGTGTTGGTGGTGTTGGTGGTGCTGGTGGTGCTGGTGGTGCTGGTGGTGCTGGTGGTGCTGGTGGTGTTGGTGGTGTTGGCGGTGTTGGTGGTGCTGGTGGTGCTGGTGGTGCTGGTGGTGCTGGTGGTGCTGGTGGTGCTGGTGGTGCTGGTGGTGCTGGTGGTGCTGGTGGTGCTGGTGGTGCTGGTTCTGATGCTGCTGGGGCTGCTGGGCTGGCGGGCCTGTATGTGCCTACATGTGTTCGTGCACGCAAACCCCTCTGCCCTTCCCTCTCCCAACCCAGCCATGCTGAACTGAAACTCCTGCTGGATACCGTATGTTTTTGGAGAATTCTCAAAAAACATGCGCTGAATCTGCTGCTGGATACCCCTCTCACTGTCTCACGTGTCCCTCGTGCCCTCAATTCGTGCTCATGCGCAATGCACCACTGCTCATCCGAGGCAGCCCCACTGCCACCCCACCCCCACCCCCAGGCATGCTGAACCTGCTGCTGGAAACACCGCTCACGGTGACCCAACTCCACCCCCAGCCTCATGCCCATTCGTGCTCCCACCCACCTGGCCCCACCGCACCCCACACCCCCACATTGCACCCGCACAACCCCACACCTCCCCACCCCCAGGCATGCTGAACCTGCTGCTGGAGACAGCTCGCACCAGCGGGCGGGCTCTGCTTGAAGTGCCGGTGCTGGCGCCCCGTATCCCCCATGCACCCCGTATCCCCCATGCACCCCGTATCCCCTGTATCCCCCATATCCCCCGTATCCCCTGTATCCACCATGCACCCCATATCCCCCGTATCCCCCGTATCCCCTATGCACCCATGTGCCCATGCTTGCTCCCCCGGCCCCGCACCTCCAGGCATGCTGAACCTGCTTCTGGAAACACCCCTCACGGTGACCCAACTAGACTATGTGGAGACGGCTCGCACCAGCGGGAGGGCGCTGCTGGAACTCATCACTGACATCCTCGACCTCTCCAAGATTGAAGTGAGCTACTCTGCTACTCACAGAAAGAATATGATGTGCACAGGTCAACAGCGGGCACACACACACACGCACGCACGCACACACACGCGCGCGCACACACACACACGCACGCACGCACACACACACCCATGCACACACACACACACGCACACACACACACACACACACACCCACACACACACACACACGCACGCACGCACACACACACACAAGCACACACACCCACGCACACACACACACACGCACACACACAGACACACCCACGCACACACACACACACACACGCACGCACGCACACACACACACACAAACCCACACACACACACACATGCACGCACACACACACACACGCGCGTGCACACAAACATACACATACACACACACACACACACACACACACACACACACACACACACACACACACACACACCAACGTGCGCACACGAACGGGCCGGCGCTGGTCGAGCTAATCTCTTCTCAGTGACATCCTGGAGCTGTCCATGAGCAGTGCAGGCTCTCTCTCTCTCGACAGCTCACCTCGACCAGCGCACCTTGATGTAGTACAGGTGCGCTGCTCATGTCATGGCAGAGAGAGAGCCTGCACTGCTCTTGTTGCGCTGTGGAGGTGGACAGAGTAAGGTAGGAGGAGCGGGCACACTGAGATGTGTGCAAACCAGTGGGCCTTGGCTGCTGGAGCGGATCACTGACATGGGAATGCGGAGGCCTCGCTGATGGGAATGCGAGGCAGAACCTCTGCGGAGGCCTCGCTGATGGGCCTCGCTGTTTTTCTGTATTTCTGAACCTCTGCGGGCACCGCATTGCATGCATCCACGCCCCGCCTTTCACTACCCTTCCCCCTTCGCCGCCCACCCACACACCCACCAAGGCGCAGAGGGTCCCAATGGACGTGCGCGGAGAGGTGGACACGGTTCTCACAATGTTCATCGAGCGCTTCTCTTTCTCCACCCCCACCCCCCTTTCCTCCTTCCCTCTTTCCTCATTCCCCTCATTCCCCCTCCATTTTTCCTTCCTTACACTCCTCTTTCCACCGCACCAGGCGCAGAAGATGCAGTTGGAGCACATACCCATGGACGTGAGGGGAGAGAGAAACACCCTCACCATGTTGGCCCCCCCGTCCCTTTCCTTCTTCAAACACCCTGCCTCCCTCCCTCCCCCCATCAGGCGCAGAAGATGCAGTTGGAACACATACCCATGGACGTGCGCGGAGAGGTGGACACGGTGCTCACCATGTTCATCGAGCGCTTCCGAGACAAGCCGCTGCTGCAGGTGGCGGCCTATGTTGACCCGCTCGTGCCGGCATCTGTCCTCGGGGATTCCCTGCGCTTCCGCCAGGTGGGTTGTGGGAATGAGGCACTGGACCCTCTCTGCAAGGTTGTGAGTTCTGAGGTGACTTTTGAGTCGACTCGGAAGTCCCGTGAGGGGCGAGGTGGACACGGTGCTGACCATGCTCATCGAGCGCTTCCGAGACAAGCCGCTGCTGCAGGTGGCGGCCTATGTTGACCCGCTCTCGATGCACTTCCGCCAGGTCAGTTGCTTCTGTCAGGTGGACTGTCAGGTGGGCTGTCAGGTGGGCTGTCAGGTGGACTTTCAGGTGGACTGTCAGATGGGCTGTCAGGTGGACTGTCAGGTGGCTGTCAGGTGGGCTGTCAGGTGGACTGTCAGGTGGACTGTCAGGTGGTCTGTCAGGTGGGCTGTCAGGTGGACTGTCAGGTGGGCTGTCAGGTGGGCTGTCAGGTGGACTGTCAGGTGACTGTCAGGTGGACTGTCAGGTGGATGAGGTGAGCTATTAGATGGGCCGTCAGGCGCTTGTGTTCGCACAAACAAAACGCATGTGAGCTGAATGTGGGCACATGTTCATCGCCATCCTCCTTCACTCTCCCTGTGCCCGCCAGGTGCTGATCAATCTGCTGTCCAACGCATGCAAGTACACCGAACGTGGACACATCTTCATCGCCATCCGCACGGCCGACATTCACGAGGACCTTCGGCGAGACGCTACCCGATCGCAGTCGAAGCGAGGGATTGCCCACCAGCAGCAGCAGCAGCAGCAGCAGCAGCAGCAGCAGCAAGAACAAGAGCATCAAGAGACGGGGACAGGGCATCTGCAACAACAACGGCAGTGGCAACAAGAACAGGATAAGCAGCAGCAGGAGCAGGATAAGCAGCTGGCACTGGCAGCACCGTCCTCTTGTGAAGATGCCTCCACAACAGTTACCAGCCTGATAGCGTCGCACAGCATGCACCCCTCGTCTGGCTCTGGGCGGCCGAATCTCGGCATATCTGGGGAGTTTGTCGGGCAGCAAGCAGCGGCGGTCGCAACAAGCCAGGGGGGGGCGTCACAAGGACAGGCATGGGGGCTTGCCTTTGCTTCAAGAGGTGCTAGCAGGACGTGGACAAACGGAGCCCCCTGGCTGCGCACACTCTTTCCTGGTTCACCTTCAAGCAGCGCCGCTATTGGCAGTGGCCGTCATGGCAATGCTGGAAAAGAGAGCGGTGCACATGGTACTAGTGCAAGTGGCGGTGCTGCTCAAGTGGAGGAGGGAGATATCGAGGCAGCCCGGGGGGGTGGGGGTGAGGCAGCCAGTGCATGTAACCCCAGGTCTGCCAGTGCCAGTGCCATTGCCATTGCCATGCCCACCATCACCAACACCACCACCACCACTACCAGCACTGTCTCCTTCCGTCCTGCCAGGCTGCTCTCTCGCACTGTGAGTGGCAGGACCCGTGCTGCTGCCGCCGCTGCTGCAGTGGAAGGTGGTGGTGATGCCGCTAGCAGTGCTTGGCGGAGCAGCGTGAGCGCTGCGTGCGGGCTGCCCCTGGGTGCATGCGCGGGCGAGCAGCGGCTGCTGGCGTATCAACAGCTAGAAGACGGGCAGGGAGAGCTGGAATACGAGCCGGTGGGGGCCGAAGACGCACTGGTTGAGGCACGGGGGTTGGCAAGGGAGAGAAGGTTGGCGGGGGAGGGGACGCAAGGCGAGGAGCACGAGCTGTTGCAGGTGGTGGTGCATTGTATGAGACCTCCAGTTTCAGACACCAGCCTTGCTGCTGTTGCTGCTGCTGGTGATGTTCGCACAAGCAGTGAAAAGCAGCAAGTGCAGCAAGTGCAGCAAGTGCAGCAAGTGCAGCAAGTGCAGCAGGTGCAGCAAGTGCAGCAAGTGCAGCAGCAGCAGGTGCACGTGACGCTGAGTGGGCGGGCGGCAGTGAGGAGCTGCAACAGCTGGCACGTGCTGGCGGCTAGGCGGGCCGCGTGGCTGCAGCAGGGGCGGCAAGAAGCAGTGCTGCGAGGGGGAGAGGGGTGCGGGAGGGTCAAGCGGGGTGAGGAGGGAGATGGGGATGAGGGGGGAGATGGGGAGGGAGCCAAGGAAGGGTGCGTGGAGGTGGGCTGCGAGTGGGAGAGGCAGCAATTAGTGACAGGAGGAGCAGCAGGAGGAAGTGGGGCAGCAGTGGGAGTGGCAGCAGACGACAGGCCTCAAACCGTTCGATTGGTGGTTTCTGTTGAGGTGGGCGCAGCATGTGTGTTGAGATGCGCGGCAATTTGTACTCGTTCTGCAACAAACACAAGCACGACGCAACACGCACGCACATCCTGCCTCTTCTCATTCCACTGCCCTTTGCCCCCTCTCGTTTCCATACCTCACGCACCTGCTCGCTTCCACCACTACAGGACACCATCTTTAAGCCCTTCACGCACGCAGATGCTAGCACGCGCATGATAACTCTTCCCACTCTCTCCCCCTGTCCTCCCCTGCTTTCCCCCTGTCCTCCCCTGCTTTCCCCCCCACATATCCAACCTTCACACCACAGGACACAAGCGAGGGGATCCCCTACGCAGCCCAACGCACCATCCTGAAGCCGTTCACGCAGGCAGACCCGAGCACGACACGCACATGCTTATTCTTCTTACTCTCCTCCCCTGTGCTCTCCTGCCTCTCGACCCTCTATCCGTACCTCTCACTGTTGCCCACCCACCACCACAGGACACAGGCGAGGGGATCCCCTACGCAGCCCAACGCACCATCCTGAAGCCGTTCACGCAAGCGGACCCCAGCACGACACGCACGCACGGCGGCACGGGAATCGGGCTGTCCATCAGCCGCCACCTCGTCGACCTCATGGGGGGGCGCCTCTCCTTCTCCTCACGCCCTGGCCTCGGCAGCACCTTCTATTTTGACCTCCTCCTGCCCTGCGACCAACCTCGGCCCGAGCCTGTGCCGAACCTCCTGCAACCGGACCTGGTTTCTGCTTCGGGAAAGTGTTCCCGAAGTGGAAATGGGACTGTGGCTGGGGTGGCAGATGCTGTTTCTACTGCTGGTGCTGCTGATGCGGCTGCTGCTGCTGCTGCCGCTGCCACTGATGTTGGTACCATGGGTCCTCTGCGCGGTTCCTTCCTTTCTCCTTTCGGTTTGAAAGACAGGGATGGATTGGCAAGCCTGAGCGAGATCAAGGAAGCTGTGGTTCGGGCCAGGCTCGGCGCAATCCTATTGGACGACCGGCCGGTGAGGCTCGGGGTGCTGGAGAGCCTGCTCAACAGGCTCGGCATGCTGGTGCTCAACTCTACGTTTGGCACCAGCTCTGGTGATGAGGTTCCTCTGTTGCAGCCGGTGGTGGTGTTTGTGGATCATGAATGGCTTGAGCTGCAACAGCAGCAGGAGGAGAGGGATGAGCGGAAGGAGGAAACGGAGGAGAAGGAAGAGGAGGAGGAGGATAAGGGAGAGGAGGAGGATGGGGAGCATACAGAGAAACATGGTCATCCAAGCATGATGACATGGCAAGGGAAGGCATGGCAGGCAATGGTTGCAACAGGGATGGTGAGGACAAGTGCAGGGATGGTTGGGGAAGGAAGAGCGAGAGACAGTCACCCTGGATGCTCTCTTGCCACGCCACCCAGGGCTTGCACAGACACCCTGGGTACCACAGTACCTGCTGCTGCTGCTGCTGCTGGTGCTGGGGAGCATGGGTGTGCGGCTGAAGGAGCAGGTGGGGAGCATGGGTGTGCGGCTGAAGGAGCAGGTGGGGAGCATGGGTGTGCGGCTGAAGGAGCAGGTGGGGAGCATGGGTGTGCGGCTGAAGGAGCAGGTGGGGAGCATGGGTGTGCGGCTGAAGGAGCAGGTGGGGAGCATGGGTGTGCGGCTGAAGGAGCAGGTGGGGAGCATGGGTGTGCGGTGACAGAGGGGGTGCGTGGGCTGCGTGCAACGATCTCTATGACCGATTGGATGCTCCACTCGCCCTCCCTTGACTCCCTCACTGCTGCTGCTGCTGCTGTCTCTGCTCCTTCTGCTGCCCCTGCCACTGCTGCCACTGCTGCTGCTGCTGCTGCTGCTGCCACTGCTGCTGCTGCTGCGATTGCTGCTTCGGCTGCTTCTGAGGCTGAAGATTCACAAAGTAGGAATGTCGTCTGCAACTGCAGCAGCGGCAGCTACAGCTGCAACCGATGCCGAAACAACCATTTATACAGTAATTTAAACAGAAATAGCTACAGTAACTACAGTAGCTACAGTGGCCGCACCCCTCCCTGGATTGCTGCAGTGCTTGTGTCGCCGCACCACGACACAGCCTTTGCCGAGGCTGCCAACGAGGCTGGGTTCCGAGCCTGCCTTTCCAAGCCTGTCCGCATGAGCGCCCTTGCCAGCTGTCTGTTGGAGATTCTCATGGGGGGAACGGGGCAGGGGGAGGGGGAGGGGGAGGGGGGAGGGGAGGGTGAAGGGGAGGGGGAGGGGGAAGGGGGGGAGGAAGCGGAAGGGAATGGGGAGGAGCGGGAGGGGGAAGTGGAGTTGGGGGAGGGAAGAAGCAGGGGACGGGAGTGGGATGGGAGAGAGGAGGGGAGAGGGGCATGGGTCAGGGAGGAGAGGGGAGGTGCTGAGGGAGTGTGTGTGGAGGAGAATAGCCTTTGGGATGGTTTAAGTGAGGGAGAGAGTGCGAGTGAGGGAGAGAGTGGGAGTGAGGGAGAGAGTGTGAGCGAGTGGGGGGATCCCCTGTGGCAGGACACTGAGGGAGTTTGGGAGAAGGGGGGTGAAGAACAAGCAAGTCGGCAACAACACAAAAGGGGAGGAGACGGAGGAGAAGGGGGGAAGGTAGTGGGAGAGGTAAAGGGATGCGGAGGGGAAGTGGAAGGGATAGGGGTGGGCCAGGATGGGGGTGGAGTGAGGTTGAGGGGGGGGAGGGGACTGGCAACAATGGGTGCGCTTTGTGATGATCGGAATGGGTCGGCAGGCCATGATTCTGCCCCTGCTGCTGCTTCTGGCACTAATGTTGCCTCTGCTGCTGCTGCTGCTTCTGCCAATGATGCTGCCACTTGTGCTGCTGGCCTGACTGCTGGTCTTGTCTCTCCTTACTGCCAAGTTCCCCCTCTTGTGCCGTCCTCTCTTGTATCTCCCATGCTTCATTCACCCTCCCTAGTATCTCCACACCTACTTTCACCCCCTCTAGCATCACCGAACCTAGCGCCACCCTGTCTAGCATCACCAAACCTAGCGCCACCCCGTCTAGCTTCACCGAACCTAGCGCCACCCCGTCTAGCTTCACCGAACCTAGCGCCACCCCGTCTAGCTTCACCGAACCTAGCGTCACCCCGTCTAGCTTCACCGAACCTAGCGTCACCCCGTCTAGCTTCACCGAACCTAGCGTCACCCCGTCTAGCTTCACCGAACCTTGCGTCACCCCGTCTAGCTTCACCGAACCTAGCGTCGCCCCCTTTAGCATCACCGAACCTAGCGTCACCCTCTCAAGAACCACTGTTTCCTTCAATCCTGTCCCCTGCTTCTGACTCTTCCTCTACACTCCTGCCCCCAGCATCAGCATCAGCAGCAGCAGCAGCAGCAGCAGCAGCAGCAGGGACAAAGATAGGGGCAACAGCAGGGTCAGGGGCAGCAGGCTTCAAGGCAGGAAGCAATGCCGGAGCTATGACCCCTTCTGAAGCATCTCCTGCTTCCCTCTCATCGCCATCCTCCAACGCTCTGCCGCCCACCCACCACGTGCGGGCGGCAAGCTGGGGCGGCTTTTTGGACATGGCGGGCGGCAGTCTAGTGAAGGGGTGGGAGAGCCCGCAGTTTGGGGAGAATCTTTCCCCCGTGGGGGGAAGGGAGGCCTCTAGGGGGAGCCCTGCGCCCATGAGGGGGGGAGGGGGGGAAGGGGAGTGGGGGAGCAGGTTAGGGGGGGGTAAGGCCGACGGGATTTGGGCAGCTAAGGGCCGGGATGGGGACACGAGCGGGTGTGGGAGCAGGGGAGGGGGTGGGGGTGGGGGTGGGGGTGGGGTTGGGGTGGGGGGTGGGGGGACGGGTGGGGGTGTGGGGGATGCGAGTGGGAACAGGGGGAGTGTGAGTGGGAACAGGGGGGTTGTGAGTGGGAACAGGGGGAGTGTGAGTCTACGGAGGGAGGCAGGGGGAAAGCGATTCAGTGTCGACATTGTGAGGCGTGCCTTTATGGACGATAGGCCGATCAGAAGCAACAGCGGGGGCCGGACAAGAAGCAAGGGGGCGGCACAGGCTAGCCGACAAAACCCCTGGAGTCAACCGAGTCAACACAGTCAACTGAGCCCGCGCATTCCATCACCAGTAGCGCCAGGAACAGCAGCAGTGACGGTGGCAGCTGGAGCAGGCACTCCCTCCGCCGTGGCGGTGCGCAGGGCGAGCAGCAGCGCTGCGCAGCAGCTGATGCAGGCTTTAAGCGGGCGGCGCGTGCTGGTGGTGGACGACAACATGGTCAACCGCAAGGTAACCAGCCTCCTGTTCCAGTAAAGTCAAAAGGCTGTGCCTCGAAAGGTGGTGCCCCAAAAGGTAGTGCCTCAAAACCTGGCGCGTGCTGGTGGTTGATGACAACACGGTCAACCGCAAGGTGATTGAGCGCATCCTGCGTCATTCCATGCAATGCGATTCCCTAGGTGCCTTCTGGGGAAGTCTTTGAGGCGCCTCAAAGGGCGGCGCGTGCTGGTGCGTATTTGTGCTCCTCAACCCTCCCTCCCGCCCTCCCTCCCTCCCTCCCTCCCTCCCTCCCTCCCTCCCTCCCTCCCTCCCTCCCTCCCTCCCTCCCTCCCTCCCTCCCTCCCTCCCTCCCTCCCTCCCTCCCTCCCTCCCTCCCTCCCTCCTCCCTCCCGCCCTCCCTCCCTCCCTCCCTCCCTCCCTCCCTCCCTCCCTCCCTCCCTCTCCTCCCTCCCTCCCTCCCTCCCTCCCTCCCTCCCTCCCTCCCTCCCTCCCTCCCTCCCTCCCTCCCTCCCTCCCTCCCTCCCTCCCTCCCTCCCTCCCCTCCCTCCCTCCCGCCCGCCCGCCCTCCCTCCCTCCCTCCCTCCCTCCCTCCCTCCCTCCCTCCCTCCCTCCCTCCCTCCCTCCCTCCCTCCCTCCCTCCCTCCCTCCCTCCCTCCCTCCCTCCCTCCCTCCCTCCCTCCCTCCCTCCCTCCCTCCCTCCCTCCCTCCCTCCCTCCCCTCCCTCCCTCCCGCCCGCCCGCCCGCCCTCCCTCCCTCCCTCCCTCCCTCCCTCCCTCCCTCCCTCCCTCCCTCCCTCCCTCCCTCCCTCCCTCCCTCCCTCCCTCCCTCCCTCCCTCCCTCCCTCCCTCCCTCCCTCCCTCCCTCCCTCCCTCCCTCCCTCTCTCCCTCCCTCCCTCCCTCCCTCCCTCCCTCCCTCCCTTTCCCCCCCCCCCCTTCCCTCCCCACCAGGTGATAAGCCGCATGCTGCAGCGGTACGGGGTGCAAGTGGAGGAGGTGGATGGGGGGGGCAAGGCAGTGAAGCGGGTGCAGGAGATGCGCGACGGTGCTGCCTTGCCACTTGACTGCGTCTTCATGGACATTCAGGTGTGCTCTTTCTCACCACCCCGGCATGCTGATGTCATTGCACACTTGCGTGTACATAAATATCATATGTATATATGTGTGTGGATATACATATATATGTGTGTGTGTGTGTGTGTGTGTGTGTGTGTGTGTGTGTGTGTGTGTGTGTGTGTGTGTGTGTGTGTGTGTGTGTGTGTGTGTGTATTTATATATACAGCCTGTTAAGACTGGTATGTATGTGTTGTTGACTGTATCTAAAAAAAGTTATATTTGTTTTCTTATGTTATTATGTATGAGGCAAACCTAATGACGTAATGATGCGACATTCTTTGGAGTACATAGCATTATAGCAGCGCAATATAGCATCGTTTGTTAGCAAGTCCTCAATTCTTATCCCTCTCACTTCCTCTTCCTCTTCGCAATCTCTCCATGCGTTTTCCACTGTCAGATGCCGGGAATGGACGGCTACGAAGCAGTCTCCCACATCCGCAGCATGGAGCAGGAAACTCCCCCAACCACGGCAGCATCTCCATCCTCTTCAACCCCACCTGCATCTCCATCACCCCCCCAATCAAAAGCACCAGTGAAAAGCTCTACAACCCCACCTGCAACCACATCACCCTCCGCATTAAAAGCACTCTTACCAAAAAGCCTATCAGACACCAAAATCCCACCAGACACCAGGAACCCGTCGGCGTCAGGCTCCCCTCGAAGCTCATCAGCAGAGGCGGCAGCAGAAGCACCAGTGGCAGGTGCAGCGAGGGCAGAGAAGGGGCGGCTGCTGGTGATAGCGCTGACTGCAGATGTGGGTTCGGGCACACGGGAGCGGTGTGCCAAGGCTGGGATGGATGGATACATGACGAAACCCATAGAGGAGCAGCAGCTGTCGCGTGTGGTGCTCCCATTCTTTGCTGCGCTGGCGGGTAACTTTTGAGTCGACTCAAGAGACCGATTGAGGGGCAGCACATGGGAGCAGGTACGCGGGAGCGGTGTGCGGCGAAGGCTGGAATTGATGGGTACATGACGAAACCCATTGATGAGCAGCAGCTGTTGCAAGTGGTGCTCCCATTCTTTGCTGCACCGGCGGGAAATGTTTGAGTCGACTCAAAAGTCACCTTGCTATGTCGGTGCGGGTACCAAGAAGGTGGGGATGGCCGGTTACTTGACAAATCCCATTGAGGGGCAGCAGCTGTTGCGAGTGGTGCTGCCGTCTTTCGCTGCGCCGGCGGGTACCGTATACTCCTGGACAAAACACCCCCCCATAATTGTACACCCCCGGGTAGCTTGTGCGGGGTGGGTGTTATGATAGACCTCGTTTCTACTATACCCCCCTTTTTGGCTGATTTTCTATAACACCCCTCTTACGGATTCATTATTATAGTCGTTAACGAGTAGCTGCAATACGGAAGAATATCGTGTGAATTTCTCCCTCGATGAGATTTCGCGGTACATTCAAAGGCAATCTGCCGAGATTTGCCCCCTCCCACTATTTCTCTGTCGCCACGTGCAGGTGAATCTTCCGTTGCAAGTGGCAAGAGAGGTGCCACATGCCATTTTCGTGGGGGCGATGAAGTTCGAGGCCGAAACTCACATTCGCGCCTCAGGTAGTGATGCTAAAACGACCAGCAAAACACCCATATTGACTAATTAAAAAAACACTAACACTAAAATATGCCATATGTAAAGACCCGGGTATTGTGTATTTTTTTCCTATGAGGAGACCCCCCCCCATTTTTTCCCTGTATTTTTAGCTATACCCTAGGGTGTTATGTCCGGGAGAATACGGTAATAACCCGTTGTGCGGGCCTAATTATATTTAGCGCATGCATGTTGCTGCGCATACTAGTGTATATACCGTCATACCCCGGATATAAGCGCCACCCGCGGATAAGCGCCTGGCGCTTTTAATTGGCGTGTGGCGCTTATATCCGGTGCTCGATTATAAGCGCACCCCCTGAAGGCTTACGTATTATAAGAGCCTCCATTTGTATTAGTTTTTATAAAGTTACTGGAATCTCTGTAGCGAAACACACTATCTGCATCCTCACTTGATAAAATTTCGACCCTTCACCCTCGCGCGACTCACTGCCCCACCCTCGCGCTGTCAAAATGAGGAATGATGATGCCATTGATGTTGGTTGGGGTACATATAACAAACCCTAACTTCTGTACCCCCTAAGACAAACCTCACTACAGGCTACAACATTTGACACACCCCCATAGCCTAAGTGAGGGGTGTCTAGCAAAATAAAAAAGAGTACGGTCACAAGACCAGTCCAAAAGAAAACAAAGCTCAGGGTGGATAACAACGTCACCACACTTTCTGAGCACAAGCAACAGTGGCCACAAGGCCAGTCCAAGAGATCACAAGTATATATAGCAAGAGTACAGACGAAGCAGGCAATAAACTCAAGCCTACACATGACTAGAACATGTGTCAACAAGGCCTAACTGCACACAACACCTCTGGTGGTCACAAGGCGGAAGCGCCTTGGTGAAGATGTCTGCAGTGTTGGCCTCGGACTCCACAAACTCGAAGCGAGCCTGTCCACGTCTCTGCAACTCTCGCAGAAGAAAGTACCTGACGTGAATGTGCTTCACTCTGCTCTCCAGTCGCGGCTCACGACAGAGGAGGATCGACGCCTTGTTGTCAGTGAACAAGGTCGGTGCAGAGCTCGGCCGCTCACCAAGGTCGGCGAGCAAGAAGGTCAACCAACGCAACTCCTGTGCCGCCATGGCACCAGCGTAAATCTCAGCCTCAGCTGTAGAGGTCGAGACAGAAGAGGAGCGCGTGGAACGCCAGGAAACACCTCCAGAACCCAGACTGAAACAGTACCCCTGAGTAGACCTGTGAGTCTCAGCGTCGTCAGCGTAAGAGGAGTCACAGTGACCAGTGAGTACGACAGACTGCTGCCCTCCAAGAACTAGCCCCACGCTTGATGTAGTCGCTAGGTACTTCGCCACCCTCACAGCTGCCGTCCAGTGAACAGGACGGTGTCTCCCTGGCGCAACAAAGCGCGCAAGGATGCTGAGAGGGAAGGCGAGGTCCGGGCGAGTACAAGTCATCAGGTACATGAGGCAACCCACAAGCTCTGCGTAGGGACCACTAGGCTCAAACGGCTCGTCAGGAAAGGGACCAGTGAGTCTGTGGTCAACAGCGAGAGGTGTGCGCTGTACGGTGGAGTGCTGAAGCCCGAACCGCTGAAGGACCTGCTGCACCATGTGTGACTGTGAGAGTGTAATGGTGCGAGCGGCTCTGTCCCTGGTGATCTGCAGGCCAAGGTAGTGGCGCAGCTCACCAAGATCAGTGCACGTGTGTCTCTTCTGCAGTTCAGACTTCACGTCTGCCAAAGCAACCCTGTCCAGAGTGGCGAAAACGAGGTCGTCGACGTAAACCAGAACAAAGAACGGTGTGGAGCCACGACGAACGAACAGCGACGGGTCGGCAGAAGACGGCTGGAACCCAAGGTCAGAGAGGGTAGAACGCAGAGTGTCGTGCCACTCACGAGGGGCCTGGCGAAGACCGTAAACAGGTCGCCTCAGCCTCCACTGGGTCCCAGGAGGGAAGGTGCCAGTGAAGGCCGAGGGACGACGCAACCAGACCTCCTCGTGTAGGCTGCCCTGAAGGAAAGCAGTGGAGAAGTCGAGAGAGTGTAACTCGTAGTCTCTCTGTGCTGCTACGTGTAGTAACACCCGAAGAGTGGTCATCTTCGGGGTAGGTGCGAAGGTCTGAAAGAAGTCAACTCCCTCGCGCTGACTGAAACCTCTAGCCACGTAGCGCGCCTTGAAGACCGGGGGAGATCCCGGTGGCCGCTTCACCCTGTAGATCCACATGCCGTCGACTACGTTCGCCCCAGGGAGGGGAACCTCATCGACGTAGGTGCCTGTGGATCTGTAGGAGGCCATCTCTGCGTCCATGGCAGCTCTCCACTGAGAGGCCCAAGGCCCTGACACTGCCTCAGCGTAAGTGCGAGGAGTCGGAATGTCAAGGGCGTCGGGGTCACCCTCAGGGGCGAGGAGCATGGCACAGAGATGAGGGGAAGCGGCCGCCAGGAACTCTAGCTCAAACTGCCTGTCCTCTAGGGCGTCACAGCCAAGGGCAGACACACCCCCGACGGCCAGAGGACTGGTAGGAGGAGCAGCCACAAGCGTGGTGGCGTAGTCAAGGCGGCGGGTAGAGGCAAAGTCAGTAACTGCGGCAGTAAGAGCGGACACAGAGGACACAGAGGCACGAGGGTGAGTAACAAGAGAGGCGAGAACACGAGAGAGAACAGGATGGTACGTGCGGTAGTAGTCAGTGACAGGAGTAGGGAGCGACACAGTGAGGGCCGACTCAGGAGGAGACGGAAGCACAGACTGAGACGGACGAGGTGGACTAGAAAGAAGGAAGGCAGTACGAAGGTCAGTGAAGGGAACAGGAGACGAGGGACGAGCACGAGGGGAGCGACGAGTAGCCCAAGAACGAGACGGAGGAGGAGAGGACAAAGGCGGAGAACTGGGGAAAACAGCGGGGGAGGAGTCAGGAGGAGGAAACGTGGGACCGTAGACAGGAGGAGAGGCGGAGGAGGGAGGAGAAGGGGAGGGGAGACCAAGGGTCCGAAGACCCGAGACAGGAGGAGGAAGTGGCTGCTGCTGCTGCTGCTGTGACTGCTGCTGCTGCGGAAGCGGCTGCTGCTGGGACTGCTGCTCCTGCGGGTCCAGCTGCTGCTGCTGCTGCTGCTGCTGCTCCTGCGGCTCCAGCTGCTGCTGCTGCTCCTCCAGCCGCTGTAACTCCCTCTCCTCTCTCTCCAACGCCAGCTGCTCGTCACGGGCACGGCGAACAGGAGCCTGGTGCCTAGTCGGGTAGGGGTGGGGGGGCGGAGTAGTGTCCGAAGCAGCGGTAGCTCCAGAGTCCACCCCCGAAGAACCAGTCGCACCACCCCCAGAGGCAGCACTAACACCAGCTCCAGACCCAGGCTCACCAGAACCCGAAGGAGGCGCACTCTCACCCCCAGTGTCCGCGGGACCAGCACCAGCTCCCGGACGACAAGAGTCCTCTAAACCCACCGGGTCAGCTCCAACTCCAGAACCAGAAACTCCAGCTCCAACTCCAGCTCCAACCCCAGCACCCCCAGAACCAGAAACTCCAGTGCCAACTCCAGCTCCAACTCCAGCTCCAACTCCAGCTCCAACTCCACCACCCCCAGAACCAGAAACCGGTACAGGAACAGGCGCAGCACCAACCTCTCGAGAGCTAGCACCTGCGGCACGCTGCGAGGAGGACTGTGGGGAGGGAGGCTGTACCGGAGAGGCTACCGAAGGAGGAGGGGTAGCCTGGGACACACCCGACGGGGCTGGACCAGGGGGGGGAGGCTGTACCGGGGGAACAGGAGGGGGAGCGGCAGTCAGGAAGAGGGGGGGAGGAGGAACCTGGAGACCTCGACTGGGGTACCTGACGTAGTACGGAGTGGACTCCTCGAAACGGACGTCACGGGAGTCAAAGAACCGGTGAGAGGGAGGGTGGTAAAAGGTGAAGTCAGAGGAGTCCTCAGGGAAACCAAGGAAGACACAGGGGACGGCACGAGGCGAGAGCTTGTCCGCGGAGGTGTCGCGGACAAGAGCCAAGCACCCCCAGACACGAAACCGCGACGCAACACCAGGGGACCCTGTCCAAAGACTGGTCGGTGAAACCTCTGGTCGAGAGACACGTGGCCAGAGGTTCAAGTGGTGCGCGGCGTACCTGACCGCGTAGGGCCACAGAAAATGGGGGGCACAGGCGTGAGTCAGGGAGGTGCGGGCGATCTCCATGACCAGGCCTATGCGGAGCTCAGCAACCCCATTCTGCTGTGGGGACTCTGGATGCGTCCAGGACTGACGAATGCCCTGCTCGCGACAGAATCCAGCGAGAATGCCGGAGCGAAACTCACCCCCACGGTCGGAGTGGAGGCAGCTGAC